TCCGCTTTCTTGGGCTCGAGGCCACCATGGAACTCATCCGGTTTGGCCCGCAAGAACTCTCTAGTAAGGAAACTCGCCCTTGACTCCACGGTGTTCTCTCGAGCTTAATTCTCCACCCTCAACAAGTTCATAGACTCTCTTAAAGCCCCTACCATTTCTCGAGCTAGGGCCCCTATTGCGGTTTGACCCGCTTGTCCCACCTGCTCGGCCACATTAGCTTGGCCTGCTTGCTCAGCCATATTAGCTTGGCCGAACCCTTCTTCTTGCAATGGAACCCTATGGACCGGTACCTCATGCACACCTCGGCGAGCCCTACCACGCCTCCCACCTCTACCACCAATGACTTGACCCCTTCCTGACATCCTAATAAAGGACACAAGAGAAATAATTTAGTACATTAACTCATATGTGCTCGTAACTTGACTCACACATTTGGCTACAACAATTCTATAGATTTCTCTACCATATACACAATTCAATTTCACTCCACATAAGCACTTAGTCATGTAAACACATACGGACTATTCTTTTACGATGAAATTCATCCCACGAAAAACCAAGAATTCTTAGTAGAACGAGTATTGATCAACTACCCTTCTAATGAGACCTCAAGGAATTTAACAGGCACAAACAACATCCAAAAAGTCCAATCCCATACCCATTTAGTCACATAAGTATGTTATCACATAGCCACAAAATGCATAACACTTCCTAAACATGCTAAATGAACCTATTGTGGTTAAACAACCACTTCCCACGAGCTCCAAGTATTCAAACCTGGTAGCTCTGATACCAAGTTGTAACGTCCCAAATTTCTAGTCCAAATGATAATACAACAATCATGACTCTTTCAAGAAAAATCGAATATAAATCTCCAAACTTACATTACATGATACAATAGTTCTTCATGCAACAATACATTAATCCAACAACAAGTAAATAAACAAATAAATACCCCCAAGAGTTTACAAGTTTCCAAGGCTTGAGTTTGGTTACACAAAACGGTTATTCAAACCCACACACATACAGCCCTTAGCTTACACACAGAGTCAGAGCAAAATGAGAGTCTCGTACTCTCAACACACATTTCCTCGCCTTTAGTTAGGCGATATCACCACATCTTTTCTTGTACAAAAATCCCGTAGGGTGAGCATAAAACCCAGTCGGAAATCCTTAACAAAAGTATATATATTTTATACAAGTCTCAAGAGATCAAATGCACATGCCATGCTATGCCCCTTTTTGAAGATAAATCACATTTCATCTTTTGAAAACCATCATGCTCAATGATGTCATGCAATCTCAATTGTTCAAAACTTAACAATTTATTTCAAGGGAGGTAAATACGACTCTGGTAATCCCTAGGTCGGTGTCTGCAAGTAGACTATACAAGTATTACCAAATTATCATTTTTACCGATATTAACCGAAAGGCTCGACACCTATTTGCGCGGGTTGTCGGTCTTTCACCCCGGACTCTCAGGCCAACTTATTCAATATCATCTACACTACTTATCAAGACTTACCAACGTATGTACTCCAAAACCATTCCATGAAAACTTGTTTCTCAACATTCTTTTCTCAATGTAAGCTTTAAAATCAACTTTCAAAGTTTAATGTAATCAAATGAATTGATATGCCAATTTCACAAAATGAGTATAAATACTTTTATTCCAATTCATCATCAAAGGAATAACACAATTCCCTCTTCTCAATTATCCTCGACAATTAGTTATTTCAAGACTATTTCAACGTTTTGAACAATAATTTTCAAAATGAACAACAATTCTCATATTCCCTGAAATTCATTATTTGTATAAATATAAATAAGAAATTTTCTAAACATCCATTTATTTTGACACACAATAAATATAACAATATCATTTACGGATTTTCAGTCTCCTTTAAAAAAAATCCCCAAATTCTAGGTTTTCTCACCAAAACTATACAACTCAAATCTTTTGAAAAAAAAACTTTTCAAAATCATCTTTTCTTCAATCAATGAAGATCAAAACTGATAAGATCATTTTAAAAGAACAAAAGAAAAACCCACTTTCAAAATCGCTCAACTTCTCGAATCAACAATCAATTTTCAAAGCTATCGAAAGATGACTTCAAAAATCATATAGATTTTGCAAAAATATATATATATATAACTATAAGAAAATCCCTACCTCAAGTTTTGAAAAAGAAATTAGATGAAACCCCCAAAATCAACGGTGTCAAAACTCGATCTTCACCGCACACAACGAAGCCCTCAAGAAGTTAACCAACTTTGATGAAGAACTTATGGCAGAACTCTAATGGATCTTGAGAAATCAAGGTTTTGATCTAATTTGGCGTACAAAAATGTAGAGAGAAAGGAGAGGAAAGGGTTTTTAGTTTTTAGAGAGAGAGAGAGATACACAAAAGTGATCTGAAATATCAGATTCACGAACTGATATAACATGGTCCGCTCGAGCGTGGAAAGCCTCGCTCAAGCGTCAAATACACTTTCCTAGTACTTTTACAGACATGTCAAACTTCTGAAACCAAACATTCTCCGCTTGAGCGCATAAATGGCTGCTCGAGTGGACAAGCAACTTCTAATGCATTTTACATTTTTGCTTCGGGGGCACTGCCCCTCAACCCTACCAAGGCGCTGCCCTAGGACTCGCCAAGGGGCGCTGCCCTAGACCCCCTCGAGCTGACCGGACAGCTCGATCCCCAACATACTTAGCGAAGTGGCAAAACTGGAATCACTACAAAAAGAACTTTTAATCCTAACCAATTATGAAAGTAATGAGTGTGCATTTGGGGTTCACTTTTTTAATTTTTTTTTTTAGTTAACAATTTGTTTAGTTAAAGGCAGAAAACAAAAACTTAAAAAGTTTTAATCCTAACCAATTAGGAAAGTAATATGAGTGTGCATTTGGGGTTTGCTTTTTTAATCTTTTTTTTTTTTTAGTTAACAATTTGGCCTCGTTTGGGAAGTGGCTATTTTAGTAGGCTATTTTAGTAGGCTAAAATTTTTGTGTTTAGAAAGATGATTGGATTTTTTTATAGTTGGATGTGATGTTTGTGAGAAAAAAAGTGAAATGATTATGGGTTTGATGTGATATTTTGTCTTATTAGCTATTTTAGCCTATTTTGTCTTTTTGTGATTTTTAGCCTAAACTAGACTATTTTTTTTCTTCCCAAACACCCCCTTTGTTTAGTTAAAGACAGAAAACAAAATTTAAAAAGTTTTAATCCTAACCAATTATGAAAGTAATATGAGTGTGCATTTGGGGTTTGCTTTTTTAATCTTTTTTTTTTTTAGTTAACAATTTGTTTAATTTTTTAAAAAAGTTTTAGGTTTATAGATTCTACACGAGAATCATAAAATTAAAAAATTTTAAAATGTCCAAGAGAAATAAAATTAAACAAAAAATAGTGATTTATTTGACTTATTTTGAATTTTTAAACTTTTTTGAAATATTTATTTTTTAAATTAGTTTACACAAGAGGAACTAGAAAAAGAAAAAAATTACATAATTTTGATATTTATTATTCAAATTGTAACTATTTATTCTGATATAATTTTATATTTCTTCTTAAATTAGTTCACATAGTTAATAATACAATAGATTGGTAATGGCATGATATTACTATTGAATTAAATTTTTTAATAATATTTAATTCATATATATATATATATATATATTATTTTAAATAACATCTAATATGACACAATTACAATACAATTATGATTGTGTTTTAGAGAAATGTGTTTGTTGAAACATATTATTATGAATAATTTTTTCAAAACAGTAATACTATATGAACAAACAATTACTATATAATTTTTACACAAAATGATGTGTCTCATAATTCATTCACTTTATAACAAAATATTATTGAAGATATATTTATTTATAATAATCACATTGTCACATCATTATTGCAAATTTTTTGTATAAATAAAATATTTCTTTTTAAATAATTAGACACCATAAATGAATTGTCAAATATTTATTAAATATTGGGAGTGTATTTAAACTCACATGAATATTATATAAATTATTTAAAAATTCGTATTTAAAATTGTTCTAGTAAATTGTTTTTTGTTATTTTCTATGTCATAATATTATCATGAGAAAATAACATTATAGTGATGATAACAGTAAAATAAATTATTAAATTATGAAAAAATATAACTTTTATATAAATTTTTTCACTGATAAAGACAATATATTTTTTTATAAAAACAAAAAAATATATCAATTTTGAGGCATTTATTATCGTGTTTCAATATATATTTTTTTATAAAATCTGTACACTTTTTACACTTTTTTAATACTTCTTCCGTCCCAAAATATTAGTCCCTTACTCCATTTTTCATTGTTCCAAAATATTAGTCCATTTTTAAAAATCAATGACTAAAATAATATTTATTTTTTATTTTGCCATTCTTTTAAATTAAGGATAAATTACAAACACCCTTGAGGTTTTGATTAAAATACAAATCGCCCCCTGTAGTTCTGAAAATTACATCCCACCCTCTAAGGTTTCTAATTTTATAACAAATCGCCCATTTTATTAATAAATCATCAAGTTAATTAACAATTTTTAATGATATTAGAAATATGTTTCAATCAATAATTTAGGTAATTTTATTCATGTATAGGAAAGCAATTATGAATTTTATTTTTTTAATTAATTCTATTAAATAAAAAAATCTAACAATGAAGTATTTGTAATTTTTTAAATCATAGGTGACAATCTATACTTTAAGCAAATCTCGAGGGATGTATTTATAATTTATCCTTAAATTAATTAATATCACAAAAAATATAATTATGACAATTAATATTCTCTAAAAAAATATGCTCTCAAAGAATAATTTTAGAAAATTAATTTTTTTTAAAGTAAAATATTTATACTATAAAAAAAATTAAATTTTCCAAAACAAAACTATTATTTTTGAACGAAGTGAGTATATTTTTTTCTCACATTTCCAATATTAACAAGTGATTTTCCTTATAATATTTGTTAATCTACACCACTGTTTATTGTTTTATTCCTAAGAAAATAATTACAGCCTACACCTATTTGTAGAGGGCATTGGAGATCTAAAAGGTGAAATTGAAACACGGTTTACTCTCTCACCCAAACTCAGCATATACACCCATCTAAAAAAAACTCTGCATATACCCCCCTCTCTGTCTCTCTCCTTTATACCTTCGATGACCAACGTTCCAGCTTCTTCTTGCCGACCAACTCCACTGCAGTTCTTCTTCCTTCATTCTTTGACAGGTGCTAGGTCTTCTCAACTCCACAACACAGTTCCTCTTCATCCAAACAGCTTAGTATTTATCTCCTCTCTCCACACCAAACATTTTCCAACCTCAGGCCTAGCAATTGCATTACCGACGGCAGACCCAAAGCCATCCTCATTGATTATGGAGTAATGGATGTATGAATAGATGTGAACCTGTTCATGAAACTGCCAATCAAATTTAGATATACCCAAATTCTGTAAGTAATATTTGAATTTAATGGTTATCTCGTATGTGCTATTAATTTTTATTTATTTATTTTTTGTATATATGCTTCATATTTTTACCCAAAATCTTGTTCAAATCTTTGTTTTTATTTTTTTTGCATCTGAAGTTGTTTGATTTTCATAGACAGTTTCATCTCATACCGAAACGCGATTTTCTCTCTTAAGAATCGCGTTTCTTACACGATTTTGATTCGGGAACGCAAAATCGCGTTTCTCCCACAAAATTGTCACCTACTGTAACGATTCTTGCTACTAAGATCCTGACAGGTCTCCTTGTAATACTCCTTGTAATACTGAGATTCTGAAAAATAGTGAATAGCAAACAAAAATGTATAGTATGAAGGAGAAAAATATGTTTTAGCAAAACCAAATTTGACTACCTATTTACGGATGTGAAGGAGATACTTGTGGTGAGCAAGATTAGAGGCGTCAAAAGCAGGAGGATTAGCAGCAGAGGCAGAGACAATGGGTGGAGGGATAGCCTTGCGACAACAATAGACTAACAATGGAGGGGAAGAAGGAGCCAGCAGGGGAGAAGGTGGAGAGGATGTAGCAGACTCATGGGGTACAACGGAGATGTATTCATCAAAAGGAACAGCAGAAGGAAATGGATCAATGTGAACCAAATCCTCTTTAGAAACTGGAGTAGTGAGAGACGGAAGCTGAAAGTAAGCTAGACGTTCCAAAAAAAACATGGCAAGAGACAAAGGCGACGAGAAACAGTATCGTAACAGCGATAGCCTTTCTGAGTAAGACTGTGACCCAAAAAGACACATGACAGACCGCACACTAAGTTTTGTCCTATCTTCCCGGAAAAGAAGGACAAAACACGCAAACCAAAAAACACGAAGGAGAGAATAATAGGAAAGTTGAAAAAATAGAGCCTCATAAGGAGAACAACCAGACAGTAGGGGATAAGGCATACGGTTGAGAAGAAAAGTAGCAGTAAGAATGACTTCCCTCCCAAAAGGAAGTCGGGACAGAGGCAAAAAGAATGAGAGATCTAACTGTCTTAAGAAGATGACGGTGTTTACGTTCAGCACAACCGTTTTGGGCAGGTGTATCAGTATAGGAAGTTCGGTGAATGGTACCTAAATTGGCCAGATATTCACATAACTCAGTTTTAAAATATTTCCCACCCAAGTCAGACCATAACAATTCAATGGTAACCCCAAACTGTGTAGTGATCATAGACTGAAAGGTACGGTATATTTGGTAGAAGTCAAATTTGTGAGTCATAAGATAAATCCAAGTATAACGGGTGCAATCATCAACAAAAGACACGTAATATGTTGAACCCCCTTTAGTGAGAACAAGAGAGGGTCTCCAGACATCAGTATGTACAAGAGAAAGGAGAAACAAAAATAAAAGTAATTTTATTAAAAGGTAAAGCTAACATTTTAACAAATTTACACCCCCGACATTCATCAATTTGACTAAGAAAAACTTTACACAATACTCCTGACTGAGCTAAAGACCGTAAACGGTCAACAGACAAATGACCTATGCAAGAATGCTATAAATAAAATAGACTCAACTGAGAATCTAACTGAAACGAGGAAAGTGCAGCTGGAGAGGTGGATGCAGGGAGATGCAAGATTTCTACTACATAGAGGTCTCCAACTCTACGGTCGGTCCCAATCTTCTTCTCGGATACCTGATCCTGCACACAACAACTAGAAGAAGAAAAAAATAACGTCAAAACCAAAAGCATCAAGTTGACTAATAGATAATAAACTAACAGATAGCTGAGAAACATAAAGAATAGAGGGAATAGTAACTACAGACATAGCAGAAAATAAGACAAACCCAATAGACAGAACAGACACACCAGACCCATTAGCAGTATTAATAGTAATAAGAGAGGAAAGAGGGTACAGTTTTGAAGTAAGGAAATGTGAGGAGTCATATGATGAGAAGCATCAGAGTCAAATAGCCAAACAGAAGAAGATATAAATGACGAGAACCCAAGCAAACCTAAATAAAGAAAGGTATGAGCGGAGGCAGATGAGGATGGCTGAGAGGTAGACAAGATGTGTTAAAGCTGAGCAATTTGGGCACACAAGGACGCCAAATTAGAATCTGGAGCCGAAGCAGATGCAGTATAAGCGGTTGGAGAGCTAAAAGGATTCTGAGTAGGAGCTCGAAACTAGGACTGAGACTGCTGAGAGATCACACCCCCTGTAAATAGTCCCAAACCTCTTCGGCAGTAGTATATTTAGAGAACATCATCTCAATGCGATCATCCACAGCATTATGAAACCAAGTCAGAACTTGGGCATTATCATAATCCCAAGTGTCACAAGCAACCTGATATCCATTCATTTTGGGATCTGATGGACAAGAAACAGAACCAGAAACATATTCTTATTTTTTTTCGACCAAGAAAAAAAATTTCATAACAGTGGACCAATAAGCGTAATTGGCTCCAGTAAGTTTGCAAGTTATAGATTGAATTTTGTCGTCTGACATGGTGACAATATTATGATAAATTATAAAGGGCCTAAATGAAGTATATTAAAACCAATTACGTCAAACTTATAATATCCAAAACCTAGTTAGGTCCAAATACTAATAAGCAGAGTTTCCAGAAGCAACGGTTTAACCCAATCACAACTATCAATCAGAGGGATCCAGAAAGATCCTGAAGCCGAGACGAGAGAGGGAGATCACGAACCAGGTTGAGAACCAAAGAGAATGTGATGCCGAGATGATAGAGAGAGATCATGAAGCAGAGACAAGAGAGGGAGATCGCGAACCAAGTGCGAACCAGAGAGAGAACAGGCTTGCGCAAGGTAGAAAGATGAAGACGAACTAGAGTAGAGGGTCGCGACTACGGACCAGAGATGTCACGACTTCAGACCATTGATCAGAAGTATGTCACAACTTTGAAGAACCACAAAGAAGACCTTCGCGACACAGGGAGGGCTTCGACCAATGAGTTCGAATGAAACCCTAGCTCTGATCCCATGTTAGTTTCTGAATATTTCTATATATTCAACTGAGTAATAGATACAACAAGTACATCACTTATATAGAACTCTAAACCCTAAGCCTAAAAAGGAAATACAATTTACATTATTCCAAATTGACAAATATATTCTCACACCTCCCCACCCCCCCCCTCTCCCGCGGCAAGCTTCCTTACCACTTGAGCATTCCTTAGTGGTTAAGAGAATGTGAATGTAGGGTTTGCATAGATGACACAACATGACCTTCAAAGCCACTTTTGTCACTTACCTTTTGCAGCCTTCTGATGACAACTTAATAAAACTCCGCATTACAACAGGGACTATGCTAAATTCATGGATCCTTAACATGGGTATGTCCCTACACCAATGATACATCAATTGAATCTTGTGTTGAGTAGAGAAAGCTTGTTCATGTGGGAGGAGCTTCGTTCTTTATCTTTTTCTTGAACTACCCCCACAATTATAGGACATAGTAGAATTACCCCACAATTATAGGGACACATACCGGTATTTAGATTGTTGGACTGCACTCAAATGATAGTCGGTTCAGACCTGCATGTTTCAACCAAATCAACAGGCACAAAGGCAACAGAAGTCTGTGTATGAGAAGTTATTTGGTAGGGTTCTTCCTATCAAATAATTGTGTGCCTGCCTAATATTACAAAAATAAAAACATAACAATTAATAATAATAACAAAGAATTCATGTATGCTCTTACAATTCATGTCGTATAGGTCGACCCAACTTAATAAATTTTCCTTTCTATAAATTAGATATTAGGACACCTGTCTGATAATGGGGTTGATCAATCACAGCTATTTCAACCAAATCAAGCAAGCTATTTCAGATACACTCCAAACTAAGTATGATACCAAATCAATTATTGATCTCGTGATTCAAATGATTAGAGCTCTTTGTTTGCTCTAGACAAGATAAAAAAGCAATATCTCATAGTTGGCAAGCAAGGGACAAAATCTTGCAAATTGACTAAATTGCTTAGAGGGGATCATGGTCCAACCTCTCTAGGTGAAGAAGATATATGACCTAATATTCCACCTTTGATTGGCAATTGTGCCAACTATTGTATAACAGTGATAACTTAAAAAAAAAATTAACCTGTCTACACAGAAGACGGAACATTATTTAATTGACCGAGAAAATTTACCATGTATCTGAGCAAAAATGTTATAAAAAGAAATTAAAAGAAAAAAAAAAGGGAAAGAAAACTACGTATCCTTAGTTATGCACATGGTGATGCATGATTGTTGCCTCCAACAAAAGGTTGTGCTCCGGAATCTTTTTTAGGTCAATTTTCTCCTCACTAGTCCTTTGAAGAAGTCAAAACTGTAGCCACATGAAAAACAACATCATTTACTTATCAAGACCATAATCAGAAAAATAAACTCACAAAGACACTCTACTTTAAATATAAAAACCATGTGTGAAAAAAAAAATTTAAAATACAGACGTCAAAACCAAGTGTGCTTTCAATATGTCATCACAAGTAGTCTTTGTTCAAATTGCAAGAGGTTGTCTCCCAATATTGTTTAGTTTTTCTATGTAAATAAAATTGATGGGAAAAGATTTTCACAAGACAATGGGAGAGACAGATTTACATACACACATTTACAAATACATATATACAGAGTTTGGAGAGAGAAATGTAGCAAGTAGGTATCTGCTGCCATTGACATTTACTAGCATCTATCTTGCTACAAAATTTGTTCTTATTTTTGTTTAGGGTTAGTTGAGCTATTCTAGAATAAGGATATTTTGGAAATTTCCATTCCCCAGACTAGAGAAAGTATTCTGTTGATAGGATTGCAATTTTGTTAGAACTCTTCTCTCAATTTCAATCGTATAGTCAAATATCCTTGGCATTGGTGATGTATCCATCAATATATCCCGATATCTATGTATTACGCAACACTATTTAAATATGATTCCGAAATATCAAATTATATCACTAATATCATGATGCATCGGATATTGTATTGATAATACCCATGGTCAAGAATTTGCACTTAACAAACATGTATGCTGTACTCACATGTATATATTCCACAATATATCTTAACATAACATTTATCTTGCTACCTTTTAGTCTACAAAGCACGGACACGGACATAGGCACATGATACGACACGAACACAACACCAATACGCCGACATGGAAATTTTCAAGAAATGTAGGACACGACACCAATATGTTGACATGTGCAAAACATATCATTTTATACAGTTGTTATATGTTATATATAAAGATAAATAATTATTATATGTCATTTATATGAATATTTAACTATAATAATTTTTTAAGTCTAATGGAGGAGAAAAGGTATAATATTACATTAATTTTCTTTTGTCATTAGATTCCAAGTAATTTATTCAAACTTGTAGTGTGTGTATTTCTCTCTCTTTTTTTCTTTTTTTTTTGTCCAAGTATTGGGAAGTGTTTGACGGGTGTTGGACACAACACATACCTTCTTAAAAGTGACCATGCTTCTTAGCTTTTAGTTCTCTTTCTATATATATATATTGCCTTATTGTCAACCTTTCAGGACTTCCACCTTATGGAACAATATGGCAGATGTAAATACCATCAGTTTTGCACCACTAGGAGTCTGGAGAATGTCTTTATATATATATATATATATTACTTTTTTTATAAGCGAGAGCTCTGGATGTCTCACACCATACAAGAACCTAAAAGACATATTAACCACCAGATGATATTCTATCCTATCAAATTTTGTAAGGCATAGATGCAAAGAACTTAACAATGGTCAATCGGACACTAATTTCTAATCCATATGCAGAAACCAAGGATTCCTTCGAGTTTGAACCACAGGAAAAATTTGCATGCCATTTCCTTGGCGTTAGTTACATTGTATAGTTGGTGCAGTAATTTTTCTTCCTTTTTTTTTAAATTTTTTTCTGTTGGTGCGTGACATATTAAACTGTTGGATGATATTCTTTTGTATCAATATATTACTACATATTAACCACCAAGCCTTGAGTGCAAACAGTACCTAAGCGCACTTTAAAAGCTGACCCCATGGTAGGTCAGCAGTTTGACTCCCAGTTGCCCCTTCAAAGTAAATAATGTTAGATGAAGTTTCCTTAAATATATATATAAAAAAAATATGTTGCTCCATCACTTTCTCAAACATGTTGACTTCATGTTAGCATCATAGTCATCATGTCATAATTCATTTATATGCAAGAACACAAAGGGTGCTTCCGTTTGTCTATTTGTCCAGTAAATGGATATATAATAATTAGTTTTGGTTAATGCTAAAAGAATGAGGCATGCTCATTAAATTAAGATCACAGAGATATCAGTATCTACACAATACTCAAATATTAAATGAGAAAATACCATAAAATATAATACCTATTGCCGTCTGGATGAAGCTCGCACATTTGATTGTCTTCACCAAGAGCTAATAAATATCCCGAGGATGTTAAACCCTGTAATTTACAAGAAAAATAAAAATAGAATATTTCAGTGTAACTTTCCAGCATCCACAAATTTAAAAGGAATAGTATGGATGCTCAATCACATGAGACTCCTAAATATTTATTTTTGAATTGTTGGTAAAATAACATATATAGGCAGGCAGGTGAGCTGGATCAGGTTTCCCTCTCCCAGACTCACCCTACGTAGCTCGCGGTAACTGTGTGTGTAGCCTTGACTCCCATGGGGTTGGCACCCTGATGTAACAATGAGATATTGATATGGAAAGACTTTCCAAAAAGGCATGCCACAAAAAGCAAAGAAACAAATTCTCATTAGCTTGAATTTCCTTCCTCTTCTTTCTTTTTTTTATTTTTTTATTTTTATAAATAAAAAGCTCTTTTCCCCGTTCATATTACTTATTTTGTTATTCAACTTTAATTCAACACACTGGCTCAAATAGGAAATAAATAGTTTCTAGATATCATGGTTTTCCTTTGCAATATTTCAGAAAATTGCAGGGCATATAGTACATTCTGTTGCTATTTTATCTGCATTTATATTTGTGAGTCATCAAATAGTTCAGCAAATCTATCTCACCTGAATGGTAACCACTTTTTCTACAATTTGATCAGCATTATTTTCCTGCACAATAACTCTCTGCCCACTGCATGCAAGGGAACACAATCATGAACCTTCAATAATTCATTATCTAATATGTTGAAATGGAAAAGACAATAAATGTTATCAAAAAAGTACGGAAAAGATGAATAAAAAAAATGTAATTATGGATAACAAGTATTTACAGATTTTGAATAAAATGACGTCAGCTTATAGACAGCAATGGTGGCAGAACAAAGAACTAATTATGAATAAGTGGTGTTTGGGGAAGTTGGTAAAAAGCTGGTTTTTTAGCTTTTATCAGCTTTTTTGGGTTGTTTTGGGTAAAAAACTGATTTTTTTGACTAAAAAAGCTGAAAAGCCAAAAAACTGACTTTTTGGCAACTTTCCAAAAGACCCCTAAGAAGTATTTACAGATTTTGAATAATATGACGTCAGCTTATAGAAAGCAATGGATAGCTACTCTCTCTCTCTCTCCATATACATCTTTATAGGAACACAAAGATACAAGATGCTTCTTTGCAACATTAGAAGCTTATAACTATTCCAGTTGGGCAGTGCAATTATGCTCCTAGTTCACATTGTGAAAAATTCCAGGCCTTTTTATGTTTGATGGCCTTTTAAAGTAGATAACATGGATTTCTTTAAATTGATTTGTAGATACATGCAGTAGAACACAAGCCATTTCATATGATGTACGCACATAAGGCGAGTGTTGGAATTTGTCCCATATCGCCTGAAGTTGCAGTTTCTCTCACCTTAATACCTGGATTTTAAGGAGAAGTGTGGGTTGGGCTTTTCAATTTGGTATGAGAACTTGGTTTGGCCTATGACTGGTGTGCCATTTGTCCAACTAGTGTATGTAGTGGTCCAAGAGGGTGTGTTGGAAACATCGCTTGGAGTTGCTCCATCTGTGCTAGTTATAAGGTTTCAGTTTCTCTCTCCTTGATACCTGGGTTTTAAGGAGAAGTGTGGGTTGGGCTTTTCAATTACGAGCACAACATTATAAAAACTCGTTGCATTTTTGTAAGCATGATGGACATGCATGCTTACCATCCCCATGAACAGGTGTTTTTAGCATGACTCCTAATCCTAAGAATAGAATGGCATGGAGAACCAACATTAAAACTGGAGTTCAACTAATATATAACACTTTGATTTTCATCATTTTATTTTAGCATGCCTTCTTCTTTAGGCTCTGATTTTTTATTTTATTTTTTTTTATATAAGAAGACAAAAGAAAAAGTTCATTGCATTGAAAACATGAAAATAGAACTTCCAGATATTCTCTCTCGAACACTGACAGAAAATTAGTGGTCTTGACGTAAGCAGATGTCATCAGTCGAAACCGAGAGTAATTAGCTAGGATAGGTAACTCTCCTAATGCTTTGTGCGAGGTTTTACTGATATCAATTTTTTACCTTCCTTTGTTAAGCACGGATACGTGACACGAAACAAACTCAATATGGACACGCCGACGCAACAATTTTCAGAAAATCAAGACAATACATGGGGGAACACTTGCAAAATATATGGTTTTATATATTTTTAATTTGTCATATATATAAATATTTCATTCAAAATTACTAAAAATATGCAACATAACACAAATTTCTAAAGTTCAAAGAAATAAATTTACGTTGTTTTTCTCCTCATTATATCATAAATTGTTTAGTTCAAACTTACAATGTGTTAGTGTGTCTAAGTGATGAATACATGCATGTGCCCTGCAGGTGTCAGAAGTGTGTCTAAGCCTAAAAAAATTAAAAAAATAATATAACATGTTTGGATGTTCCTCCAACACGTATCAAACAAACATGATACCTTCTTAGAAGCGTTCGTTCTTCTTTGCTAGCCACCATTGCATATACTTTGAGAAAATAAATAAGTCACCCTTAGAAGCATTTGGAATCATTACTATGAATATTAAACTGTACTTTGGATTTTAAGAAATTAGTTTCTTACCAAGATAAAAAAAAATGTCCTTTAATGAAAGTAGAATTGTATTAAAGGAAGAACCCAATATGCAAACATACACCTATGGTATGGAATAAAAGCATGGATGCATACTATGTAGGTGTGGATAACCAGGAAACATTTTTTAGTCATTGCTTACCTATGCAGCCATGTCTCATAGTACAGCTCCTCAAGAGGTTGAAACCCTGCATGATAAACAACAAAGAGCTTTGAAGTATTCCTTCTGAGGTAGTAACTAACATTAATTACAAAATTTGCTGTGGTGCTCTATGATAGACATTGTGTACATTTGCTCCAAGAGGAACACAATGCCAAAACTAGTTTGCAGTAAAATCTGATCAATAAATATCATTGGGGCTTTACAGAATAAAAAAATGCCAAAACCAAGACTGTCCAAAATAAGTCTAATGAAGCAAAAATCAGTAGAAGAAAAGAAAATAAACCTAAAACATCTTCTAGTAGATATTTTTTTAGACCTAAATGGCAGGGGCAATTAATGGCCTGAATTATTTATATGAGCCATAGGGCCTTACAAAACTTACCGTTGAAAATACAGAATAGACAAAATAAGAAGTTTTCAACCATCTTAAGCAGTTAAGAGTAATTGAGGTTGTAAACATGGTGTCAATGAGGGAACACCCATTGTTTGAGTCCAGGCACCTTCCTATTAGTACATTATGCATTCATGTGTAGATCCATTCATAAAGCGCCACAGATGAGTCGAGAAGTTGAAATAAAAATACTATACTGTTCTCCAATAACTCAAGCTTTTAGAGTAACTGCATAACTGGTTGTTAAGAACTATCAAAAGGCACTAATCAGCATTACATGATTTTAATTGGTCAAACGCTCCATAAGAAACAAATAAACAGGCAATTTGGGACCAAGATGACGCAAACCTGAAGTAACAAGGTTGACCACATTTGGTTTTCCTAAAATGAGAAAATAGTTGCAAGACCAGAAATTAACACCCTATTTATTAACTGTGAGCACACATGGCTGCATAGCATAGTGATCACAAAAACTCAGAAATTTAAAGAGATGGGAAAATAACAATAATTTTATATCATCTTTCCTATCTGGTCTTTTATCACATCCATCAGTTCCCACGCCCTCCCTGAACACACAACATTTCACATCATGCTAATAATACAAATGACAGTGTGCAGTGCAATACACCATAGCTTATATACTACCAGGATTGAATAAGATTGTATTAAAAGTGGAGCGGTTTTTAATTATTGTTTTTATTCTGATACTGCCCATCATTTAAATACTTAAGCCTCCTAATGTTAAAGTAGTTTCAAATCCATTTGATTTCCCTGTAATTTACAGCAATTATACATGTTAAAATCAATTAAACTACGAAGAATGTCAAAGATAAAGAAAACACTGAACTGCTTATTTAAATTGACAATTCAAAGAGGGAAAATAAATAAATAAATAATCTGGCAGGAATTGGGCATATTTGAAGATTGAAAAGATCATGAAATAATTATAGGACAGTGGTTCACCTTTGTTAATAAGAATATCAAAAAGATTCTCAAATTTATTAAAAAAGGCTGCAAGAATATCTTCTCTCTGTAGTTGATAAGCAACAGAAGTCAATTTTTTCAGCACTGCATTCAAGCAAGTTGTAGGTTTCTCATTATCAATATTCAAGCCTATTCCTGCAAAGACATGAAAATTCTAAAACATATAGTGAAATATTTGAGCATGCAGCCCTCAACGATGATATAAGACATGAATAACTAAAAACCAATTTACTGAAATTAGAAAGCAAGAGAAAAAATTACATTGCATGATGAAAGAGAAAAGAATATCACTAGTAATACACTTTCAACTTAATATGCAGAATCACCATTGTGTAAGATTTGTATTCACATTCAAAGGGAAGAGACCATTTACCAGCACTGACATTAAACTTCTTTGATTTATAGACTGAAGTGCACAAAATGCCTCCCACTTTAAGGCCATTTAAGTACAGGTCATTTGGCCACTTTATTCTAACTTCAAGAGGTGGTATACCCTGAAATAGATTATGTTACCCCAAAAAAAAATCACCAACAAAATTTGTTACCCAAAAAAATACAATCAAAGGGATGAGACCTTTTATTGTGTTCTCTTGACATCTAAAATAATGAGAAACAAAAGGCCTAGTATATGATTAATGTCAAAATATTGAATGCTCTCCAACAATCAATGATTGAAACAACCTTTTCACTTTCTTGAGAGGTTAGCTGCAAGATTATGTTGTCCGCATTACATTTTTTTTACTCAAGAGGGTATCAGGGGCTTCTTATCACTTTACTACTCAGGCCTCATTTGGGAACTAAGTATTTTAGCCAAAAAGCCAAAAAGTCACTATAAGTTATTACATTACTCTCTCTACTTTTTTGCACATCTTTTTATAAAAAGCCAAAAAGTTACTAAAATAACTTGTTTCCAAACGAGGCTTCAGTGTAAGATAACTTTGTCTTCATGATTGTGTGCGTTTGATATCATTTTCGTTTTCTACTGTCTATCTCGAAAATAAAAGGAAAAAACAAAATAAACAAAAAATGACACGAAAAACTTGTTTGCCAAACTATTTCAAAAAATTGTTTTCCAAATTTGTTTTTAAAACACTCCATATTTTTAGGAAATACTTTTAAGTTGTTTTCTGAATTTTTGGAAACTGTTTTCATACAAAATGAAATGATATGAAAACAATCATTGTTTTGAACTTTTCAATGTTTTCATTTATGAAAAACACTAAATACAAAAGCGTTGAAAATGAAATTGATACCAAACAGACCCTTAATAGCCTGTAATGAGATGCATTTCTGATTATTATTGTCCATAGATGAGATTTAACTGATACAAATATTCAGCGAACTTGGAGAATGCACAAGCTTTTTATCTAAGTGCCATCATTAGAAGCACCAAATAATGTATTGATGATATTTGCAATATATCAATCTGTATTTGTATTATCAAGACCTTGATATATATATATATATATATATTTATTATTATATATAATTTTTATTTTTATTTTTGTTAAAGTACATATATTATAATTTTCAAAATGATATTGGTATCTTGCAATATATCCTATATTTGTAGTAGTAGCAACATATATTTTGTTGTGGACATTTCATTCCATGGCCCCAAAGAAGCTGTGAAATTTCTTTATTACAAGCTCGATTTGTTCTTGTTTAGTTGGTCTGCTTCCCCTATTTTATGATATTTCACATACAATTTAAAGATTCAATTTTGTGCTACTTAACATCCATATTTGTAATATATGATTACAAACAGAGTATGCCATCAACATAACTGTATGTTCTCCACCTAAGATACTTGGCTTAGTCGAGCCTCAATGGCAGAGGCCCTTATTTAATTTCAATTATTGGATATATGCAGTGAACTGAGAAACACTTACATTTGTCACACAGACATCTTTTATTGCCTCTGTCATGGCAAGAGACACTACATACTGTACAAGAGGCACCACTCGCCCATCTTCCATCTGTATTGTAAATGAAAATAGAAGGCAACCTTTTGGAGATTCCCACGCATTCTTTGACCGACCTGCAAAATCGAATGAAAAAAAATAACTATCCAGTTAGGTCAGCTACATGAATTTTTTTTCACCATTCAGGTAATATGCTCAGCTAAATTATATAAATTCACATCTGTTAACCTGTTCTCTCTCAACTTATTTTTAATACCATTTCACGAATATATTCATTTCTAATTCTATTTTTCCTAGTCTTACTATACATCCATCTAATTATTCTTATCTTAGCTATACTCATTATTTTATGAATATCATGTTTGTTACCAAAAGGTAGCTCTAAATTCAGAGTCCGTTTGGCCTACAAAAGGCCTTGGATGAGCTGATTAGCAGTCTAGGTGAGGAGATGGTATTCAGAAATAGTCCATTCGGATTATAGTATAACCGGTCGTCCGGGCAGACGTCCGGCCGGTTGACTGGTCAAGCGCATTTTTTTTATTTTTACATGTGTGTACGGCTACACATTTTGAATTTTTTCTTTTGATAAGTAAAAACCATAGTTTCTATTGGTTCCTATTATTTTATATAAAAATAATTTAACAATCCCCGTACTAACAACTATCATCAAAACGAATACAGTTTTACTTAATCTCCTCACTAACAATCCTATTTATCCTAAACGGGGCCGTAAAGCATTTTGTGGGCCTCATAGTTGTTCTATAAAATCTTTCTTTCAATTTTGTTGATTGGCATTTGTCAATCAGATATTATAAGACATTATACAACATTAAACTCCAAATTTCTAACAACACAACAATCAAAATCAACAATTGCATAGCATTCCGAACCTCGCCCTTTGAACTGAGCATCAGCAACACAAACAGCGCCAATTGGAATTTCGCAGAAATTGCTGCCCAAAAACTTAAAAATTCAATATCAAACTAAATCTCAAAAAAATTACAATTCAAAATTGGTGTTACTCACTGAGAAACTACGTCATGTGTCGATGACAACCGAGGGGACCAAATCAGGAACCTTCCAAAGCGAGTAGTTGAAAGAGAATTCAAGAACAAATTGATCCGAAAACTCTCTCCTTCTCCTTCTCCTTCTCCTTCTCCTTCTCCTTCGGAAGTCATTCCACTCTCCGAATGCAATAGAATCGAAACATCGGCAATGTCAGGGAGTTTCAAAGTGTTATTGTTCTTCAAAGATTTCGCCAATTCATTATCGGTAGATGATTTTCCACATAGCACCAGAACACAAGGCGATTGGGAATCCATAGCTGAACAGAACATCATAAATCAGTTTCCACATATATATATATATATATAGATAGAGAGAGAGAGAGAGAGAGAGAGAGCATACCAGAGGCAGCAACTGATAGTGAGAGAGTGAGAGGCTTCTCGTTGGTAAGTGGAGAGAGATAGGGAAGAGATCGTTTGACAGAGAGAAAGTAGAGCGAAGTTTGTAGAGAGAGAAAGCGGGGGAAGCTCCTCGTCAAGGGCATGCCGTTGCCGTTTTGAGCTCGGAAGACAATGAAGGGTATGAGACGGAGAAAACGATTCGAACGATTTATTGTCACAGCATTTCATGATTACTTTTTGTCACAGACGTGATCTGAACCGCATGTTTTGCCAAAAAAACACGCCAGTTTGTAGGACTATGTTTGTTATACTGAAATCTAACGGTGGTAAGGGAGTCTGTTACCTGTAAAAATTATGTGTCAAGCTTATGTTTTGTATTTAAGGCAAATTACACTTTACCCTGGGAAATTACGATTGCTCTCAAAGGAAGTGTGGCCCTTTTCTTCTCATAACAGTTGCACATTTTAAGTTGTTGAAAAAAATCGGAGAACCGATAAATTGATTTAATTCAGAAGGCTTTGGTTATGATTTTGAATCGAATAATGATATAATTGTTTAGTAGTTTTTTATATGATTTTGAATTTAATAATGATATAATTGTTTAGTAGTTTTTTATATACATAAATTAAAATATAAAAAGTTTTGTATAAAATTTGAATATAATTAAGATTTTGATTTTGATTCTAAATCGTGACATATTTTTCTTATAAGATTTGAATATTAGTTTTTATTGTAAAATTAATAAATTTTAATCAAATTATTAATTATTGTTAAGTTATTTACTAAAATAAAATATATATCATTTTTAGCGTTATATAAAATTTATGTAACTGAACTAAACGGTTTCTATGGTTCGATTTTAATCCGGTTTCATGGATTTAACGGTTCGGTTATGGTTTTAATTTTTTTGAGACAGTAAGAAATGGTTTGATTCCTGATTTATCCTAAAACCCAATTAATTCGATTTGTATACACCTCTAGCACATTTTACTAACAATAGCAATTCATAATTTGTCACTAAGCTACTTTAATTGGAATCTAAATTTGGTTATACATATGTGAACAATATATACCACTTTATTGGTCCATTTTATATTTTTGGTGGGACTAGTTCATTGCCTCAACCAACGAGATAGGGTGTACTATAATGAACAAATTTTCTCTCATCTAATTATAAGTGGATTATATTAATAGTCTCTATAATTTGAAATTTGTGTCACTTTAGTCCTTAACTTTTTAATTATGACACATTTGAAGCTAAATTTTGAATCTTATTCCAAATAAGGACATTTGAAGATATCATTGCTTAATTTTAAGGGCAAAATTGTCAATTTGATAAAATATAAACTAATTTGATAAAAAATAAATGTCAAAATTTTTTTTTTTGAATTTTCAAAAATTATTTCTACCCACTAAATGTAAAATTTTGTATAATTGATAAATCTTTTAGAGATTTTTTTATTTACCAAATTAATTTTTATTATGTTTTTGGATGATGATCATGTAATAGGTGGTTGTTTTTATTTTTATTAAATTAGTTTCTATTTTTCCAAAAGTCAAATATAGCGACAACTTTGATATCATTATTAAACCAATCTATTAAGGGGTATTTTTTTAAAGGTCTTTGATATTATGATTTTATAATATAAAGGATATCAAATATTTTCATGATGTCTAAGGTCCCTCAACATCAATCCAGAGAAATTTCAGTCCCAGAGAAAATTGAACTTCTCTCCATAGAAATTCTTTGGATTCAAACCAAAGAAAATTGAAATTTCTCTGAGTACCAAAGAAATTCAGAGAAAATTGTGGAGAGAAAATTTGTGTATCTATTCAGGAAAATTCTCTCATCTATAAAATACATCAAACATTTGATAGCAATGGTAAAATTTAACAAGTTCAATGACATCTCCATTGAAGTATCCAACTGCTATAACATAATTATGACAGTTCAAAACAACAATTCTATTAAATCCAATGCATCAATATTCAAAATAACTATTGTCCTGTATAGTTTGAATACAAAAAAGTCTTATACTTTGATTAATACTTTTGAAGCACTGAATTATCAGTTAAAATCGGTCAAAATGAATCCAGAGAAATTTGAGAAATTCTTGGGGCCTCCGCTGCATACCATTGATTAAGAATCTTAAATATCTCACGCATCTCTTGCTAAGTGGCTGCCCAGAGCTGGTTCCCTCTTGTGTGTACCTGGAAGAGTTGGTAGACTTGAATCCCCTTAAAAAACTGGAGGTGCTTGATCTTTCTGGTTGCATTGCTTTGACAGAACTACCCGATGACATCTTTGACCAGATGTCTTGCCTATGGAGACTTGATCTTTCTGAAACTAAGATCAAATATTTGCCATCACTTTCAAATCTTAGCAACCTCCGCCACCTCTTATTGAAAAAATGGTCGGCTTGTCGATGAGATTCAGATCATGCAAATGTCGTTTCCGTCGGAAGGGAGGTTGCTAGAGTGCGCCATTGGAGAAGAAGAGGCAGGCCGGGTCGCAGATCCGGGCGGCGCAGAGGTCTGCGACGGTGGCGGAGCGGAGAGAGGAGTCGGAGGAGAAGGTGTTGAGGAAGAGATCGTAGAGGAAGGTAGAGAGGAGGGTGGAGGAGCAAAGCTTGTTGCCTTGGATCTGGAAGACAGTGGGTGAGAGGAGAAGAGAAAGAGAGAGAGTAGAGTAGAGACAAAGAGTCAAATTTCTCTGATATATATTTAGGGACCTTAGACATCAAAACATAATTTTGTGGATCTCTTCCATTACAAAAAGTGGGAGAGAGACTCTGGACTAATTTTCCCATCTATTAAATCAAAAAATCAAAAACTAAAAATATTTCATATATTAAATATATCAATTACACGTTAAAATCCTAGCAACCACCCATTATATGATTATCATCCAAACACATAATAAAAATTAATTTGGTAATAAATAAATAAATGTCTAAAATATTTATTAATTTTACATAATTTTATCTTTGGTGGGTAAAAATAATTTTTAAAAATTTAAAAATATTTTTTTAACATTTATTTTGTCAAGTTAGTGTATATTTTATCAAATTGACGATTTTGCCCTTGTAATTAAGTAATGATATCTCCAATTGTCCTTATTTGGAACAAGATTCAAAATTCATGATCAAATGTGTCATAATTAAAAAATTGATCATCAAAGTGACACGAATCTCAAACCATAAGCACTATAGGGATTGTTAGTGTAATTCACTATTCAATTATTTGTGTGTATACACTTTAGGTGTTGGAGCTTTTTAAATACACTTAGGTTACATTTAAGAACTTCAATTTTTAAGTCAAAAAGTTATTACAAATTAAATTATTTCTTTTTACTTTTTTACATGCTTTTGTTCAAAAACAAAAAACAAAAAAACAACAGCGAAGAGCTACTTTTTTTTTTTTGGGTGCACTTTTTTGCATAAATATCGCATCATGCTCCACTTCTATTGTCATCACAGTTAGCTTCTTATCCTCTATTCCAATTTTATGCCCCACCATTCTAGTTTCGTGACATTATTACAATTTAAATTCAATACTCTTTATTTTATAAATCATTGATGTTGTATTTAGTTCATAAATTTAAATAGATAATTGAAAAGAGAAAATGAAAAGATAAGTAAAATTACATTTTACGTACTTTTTTTCATTTTTCTTTTTGAATTCTTGCTCAAATCTATAAATCAAACACAATTTAAGATATTTTAAGTTTTAATAATAATATGATTAATATTGAATTTAAATTGTGACAAACTCTAACGTGGTAGGACAACAGATAATGAGACAAGAGGATCCCCAGCTTATCAAGTCGTCACAAATGGATCAAGAAGCACATTAACTTCCTGAAATCCCATAATCACCAAAACAAACTCGTTTGAAATGCTAAGCAGAACACATGTAGTGATTAACAGAAATGCACAAACATAATTACTTTCTTGGAAACTCTAAAAATTACACATATTTCAAACTGAATTTGCAATGCAAAACTGATCCACATTAGCTCCATATGGTTTTGGCAAAACCAAATGCACACAATGAACTTATTTTTCCCGAAATCACATTTGTTCATAACTACTTACATTTGTTCCTTATTTTACATGGTTAAGCTGTAAAAAGATTAAAAACTGTCAGTTTACAGTCTCACTAAATAAAAGAAAATTCCTTTCAAATAAAACTTACACACAATGAATGTTAATCCAAGAAATTACAGGAAACACTACAAATGGCATGGAAGAAACTGATTAACTGATCTATCTTATTTTGATCAAATCTGTTGCTTAGCCTGCTAACTGTTCTTGGAGTTGAAAGCAAATATTTGACATTTTACTGAGCAAGTTACGTTGTTCTTCTCGTGATATTGATACCTGAGATACCATTGCTGGTCTGGGATCCCTCAATAACTCCTGGAGCTCACTACATAGCATCAAACCTTTCTGGTTGTTCTCACAAGATTCAGCAATCAACTGAAGCAATTTACAGCTTTGGTCTTGATGGGAAGAAGATAATTGGGATGGGATCGGGGGAACCAGAAAAGGGTGTTGAAGTAACTGAGGAATCCTCCACCGTTCATTCCGTTCCCACGCAAGACACTTCCTCATAAGATCAAGAAGCCATGGATTTGAAACTGGTTCGTATGTAATTTTGCGGTTTGGGTCGGTGATGACTTTGAACTTGGCCCAGAAAGTCTTGAATTCTGAAAAGGGCGTTCTTCCATATACCATTTGGTAAAGGATGCAACCGAGTGACCAGATATCTGATGGACGACCACATTTTATGGTGTTTCCATCTGCATCTGTTTCATTGCACATGAATGCTTCAGGAGACATGTAACTCAATGTACCCACCTGCACTAAATCATTTTCAATAAATAAGCACAAAGCTATACCGAAAAATTCATGTAATAAACTAAGCCCCTTTATCAGTTGACCAAACACTACATGCCACATTAACTTTCCCAAGAGATGGTTTGCTTTCTCTCAACTAGAATTTCTGTTCATTTTAATGTAATGACCAGAAACACCCCCAGCATCTTGATGTAGCACCATGTGATTGGTTGCCTGAAAAAAGAAAGGAATAATGGACATGGAGTAACCTGTGAATCTCTTTGAATGTTAGTTGTGTCATTCAATATAGCTTTGGCAATACCAAAATCTATTAGCTTCAGTGAGCCTCTGACAAGAAGAAAATTAGCCGGCTTTAAGTCTGAGTGCACAATACGTTCCTCATGTATGATTTTGACAGCAAGAAGTATTTGCTGCCAAGTGTTTAAGCGAGGTAAACATTAGATTCTCTTCTACAGAATAATCAACAGGATTAACCTATTTTGACCACATTAACAAGTTCCCATATCTGCATCTTTCTTCATCTTGCCAAACCTCAATCAATACAAACACAAAGAAACCGAGTAGATCCAGAGAAGGCATGATACAAATTTCTAGATTGGGCAAATCAATACAAAAGCTTACCATAAAAATTTCACAAAATGACATCAAAAAACACAGAGAAGGGAAAAGCAAAACGAAAAGGGCATTTAGACAATAGCTGGTTGACTGATCACTAATTATCTATGCTGTCAAATCAGTTTGATTCTTGCTGATTTAAAAAAGAAGTTTGATTCTTGCCACTCTTCATGTTGTAGACACAAAGGTTTAAGGCAATGAGACAAGACCAAACAAAAAAACAAGGATGAGACCAATGCCAATCAACAACTGAAATGTTCATGGCAACAATAATATGCCATCATTATCATGAAGTTACTATTGATTGGATTTACTTAGACAATTATAAAATAAGGATTTTCTAGAATACCTGCCAGTAAAACCGAAGCCAATTCTCATCTATAGTCAAATTAGTGCTATCCATTTCCTTCCATTTCTGGGACAACATGTGAGCCAAATCAATTTCTCCATATTCAAGCACCATGTATATATATCCATCTTCCTTGACTTTGGCATCTTTGTTAATTATAGAACCATTCATCACCTCTTGGAGCAAAGCCTTATCTGTCACCTAAGAGGGAAATGAATGTAAGGGTGTTTGTAAAATATTAATTTAAATAAAGATGAAACCAAAATATTATCCCTGATGAGGGTGTGCATGAATCGGTTTGGTTTAGGTTAGCACTAATCTCATAACGAAACGGATCATGATCAGTTTCAGGTTTTTGGACCCAGGACTAAACCAATCCTCCACTACAACCAAACCAAACCGATTTGATCAAACGGATCAATTTGGGTAGGTTTGGACTGAACTGATTTGATCAGGTTTGTTATCTTTAGACTTAGAATCAGACCAATGTATTAACAAACCAAACCAAACTGGTTCGGTTCTTCAATTTCTTGGGTCTCTTGCGCACCCTTGTTTTTGGGCCAAATTGGCCTTTTCTTCACTTCAGTGGAAGTTTGGGTTGCTGGCTGGGCTTTCTTAGGCCTTGAGTTGCTGTTATTGAAACTCAAACAGGATCAAAATGTTGAAATGGGCCACTTTTGGTCATGTTTGCTGACATGCCAAAACACCTACGACTTGGGCTTCTTAAGCTTCACTTCAATTTGTGTTGATATTGGGCATTTATGGATGGGCTAGATCCATGACCAAAATTAGGCATCAAGTAGGGATGGCAATTTCTCCCCGCCCCTGCGTCTCCCGCCCCACCCCAATAAAGAGCGGGATGAGGACATGTTTTCCTTCCCCCATCTCATAACTCATTCTATCTAGCCCCGTCCCGTTTCAATTAAATTTACTAAATTTTTTTATATGTATAATATATTGTTAAAATTTACCATCACCTACCACCATCACCTACCACCAATTTACCATCACCTACCACCACCTACTCCTCACCTACTACACTCACCCTCTCCTATATAATGAGCCACTCACCACTACACTCACCCTCTCCTATATAATGAGCCACTCACCATTTGTAATATACACATCAAAACAATCCATCAATTAATAATACATCAATCATAATACATAAATATTTGTTTCTCTCTCTCTTTTCCTATACATTAATTCTAACATGGTATCAGAGCAGGTTTAGAACCTACTATTTTTCGCTTCCCTGGCGGGCGGCAACCTCACCTTAGCCGCCCGCCGGACCTCAACCTAGTCCGCTGAATTTTCTAGATATACCTTCACTCCCCTACATCTTCCAACTCTTTCTTTGTGGCTCTAATCATTTTGTTTAATCAACCCACTATTTTCTGGAGGCTGGGATTCTATTGCAGTTTGATCATCACATAACAAATCAATTGCCTCACTCACCACTGGTGGTTCTAGAGTTGCTTCTAGATCAGGCAGTTTGGACACAGTGACAGTTGTTCCTTTCTTTATCTTCTCACCGGAGTCACTGATGTTCTCCTCTGCAGTATTTTGATCTGAAAAGCTCAAAACCTTTTCCAGACCATACTTTGGCTTCTCACTGTCAGCCTCAGACTGAATGGAGCCCTCTGTATTAGGGTTGTGAACCTTTCTCAGACTGCGTTTGACCTTTTCAAGCTCATTTTGTGGATGTTCCTGCACTGAATCTGCTGGATGACTCGAGACTTTCCGAAGGTTACGTCTTGGTTTCTCAGTTTCAGAGGTGGATTGAGTCGAGACATTGTCAAGGTTTAAAGGAGGAATCCTCCGGACACAATCTCTCTCTCTACTCAAGGATCCACCACTTTGTCCACTTTCCAACCCCTTCCTTCACCTTTTGCACTCCACTTACCCTATATCTACTGATTCATCAATATATATATATAATGATTTTTTCACAAACCTTTATTTTATTTTATTTTTATTTTTTCTATCTTTCTTTTTCATCAATATTTCAATATTCTACAACTCAGTTGGTGAGTATCATCCTTTTTCCATTCTCTTATTATTTTATTTTATTTTTATTCCAATACCCAAAAATAAAAAATAAAAATAAAAATATTCTCACCCCTTTTTTCTGCATGTCCTTCCTACCATCCGGGTTTGCACAACATATTTGCTTTATTCATATCAGGGGATCCACCCCGATCACAATTTTACATCACAAAAAAAAAAAAAAACAACAACAACAACAACCAAAACCACAACCACCACATCCACAGGCGGGATTTTTCTTCTCTACTCTGCCGCCGGTCTTTTCTTCTTGCCTCCGTCCTGGGCAGCCTTTGATGGTGCTCCCTCTGTGTTTCCCACGCCGCTGAGCACGTTCAGTCTCCCCTGCTCCTCCACTGCAGCATATGGCGGACCTCCAAATCGGAACATAACGGTGGCCTTCCGCTTCAGCTCCTTATTTTCCGCCTTCAGCACACTTATCTCTGCTCGCGCATCCTTATACATGCGTTGGAGCAGAGCCAGTTGGGCGATTTTTTATGGGTCCGACAAGACTCTGTAAACTGTCTCGACATTGATTCCGGTTAGCTCCTTTATGGGTCTGACAAGACTCTGTAAACTGTCCCGACATTGATTCCGGTTAGTTTCTACAAGGGTCCGACAAGACGCTGTAAACTGTTCCGACATTGATTCCGGTTAGTTTCTACAAGGGTCCGACAAGACGCTGTAAACTGTTCCGACATTGATTCCGGTTAGTTTCTACAAGGGTCCGACAAGACGCTGTAAACTGTTCCGACATTGATTCCGGTTAGTTTCTACAAGGGTCCGACAAGACGCTGTAAACTGTTCCGACATTGATTCCGGTTAGTTTCTACAAGGGTCCGACGAGACTCTGTAAACTGTCCCGACATTTGATTCCGGTTAGCTCCTTTATGGGTCTGACAAGACTCTGTAAACTGTCCCGACATTTGATTCCGGTTAGCTCCTTTATGGGTCCGACAAGACTCTGTAAACTGTCTCGACATTGATTCCGGTTAGCTCCTTTATGGGTCCGACAAGACTCTGTAAATTGTCCCGACATTGATTCCGGTTAGCTCCTTTATGGGTCCGACAAGACTCTGTAAATTGTCCCGACATTGATTCCGGTTAGCTCCTTTATGGGTTCGACAAGACTCTGTAAACTGTCCCGACATTGATTCCGGTTAGTTTCTACAAGGGTCCAGCAAGACTCTGTAAACTGTCACAACAACTGTTACAACATTGTCTGCTACAACGGTCCGACATGACCCCATAAACTGTCTTCTACATCGTTATGACACCACCATACAGTGTCCTCTGCAACATTATGACACCACCATGCAGTGTCCTCTACCACGTTATGACACCCCCATACAGTGTCCTCTACAACGTTATGACACCACCATCCAGTGTCTTCACCAACGGTCTGACACGACCATACAGTGTCTCATATCCTCTTTTATTTTTATGTATTTTCTTGTTTTGTTACTCTCTCCAAACTCAAGTTGGTTAGTTTCTATCCTCCTTGAGTTTGCGGGGGGCTGTTAAAATTTACCATCACCTACCACCATCACCTACCACCAATTTACCATCACCTACCACCACCTACTCCTCACCTACTCCTCACCTACTACACTCACCCTCTCCTATATAATGAGCCACTCACCACTACACTCACCCTCTCCTATATAATGAACCACTCACCATTTGTAATATACACATCAAAACAATACATCAATTAATAATACATCAATCATAATACATAAATATTTGTTTCTCTCTCTCTTTTCCTATACATTAATTCTAACATATGTCCTATCCATACTTACTATTATATAAAGTGCACAAGTTGTTTGGTATTAACGTTTTTTGTCACAACTTTTTTCATCCCTATATTACCCTTATGCAACTGTCAATACAAATCTTTTAACTTCTCTCTTTTAAACCCATAAACTTTTTTATCTTTTATCTTATATTTTTTAACTCAGGTCACTTATCAATCATAATCCTTGATATATCATATAATCTCTCACTTTTATTAGTACTGTCCAATGTTTTAAAAGGCGCGCACTTAGGCGTGAAGTGCACCTGAGGCGCCTCAGACAGCTTGAGGCGAGGTGAGGCACAATAGGAAAGGAGCATTTGAGGCGTGCACCATAGGTTTAGGCACGAGGCGCACGCCTCATGAGCTTCATTTAAATTTTTGCTCCATCCTTATTCTTTGTGTGTGTAACCATATGGAATTACAATCCCTCTACTATAAAATGTAAACACATGCTTTGAGCCCCAATTTTCATATCAAAAAAAGCTCTAGGCATTAAGCAAAAGCTTTGGGATTGCAAGATGGATATATGGCTTTGAGATTCCTTTCAATGTAGTAAATTACAACAATTTCGAGCCAATGATTGAAACTATTAGGCAATTTGGTCCCGATTTAAAATTGAAACCACTGAGGTATTATATGGTGTGAGTTCCTTATCTAAAAAAAGAAATGAATGACGTTAATAAATTGATAAAGAAAGATAAATAGTATAGGGCAATGTAAGATTGAATGTTATTTTTGAGAAATTTTTGAAACGTTGAATGTTATTTTTCATGATTTTTGGAATAATGAATGTTCTATTTATTTTAATTTTTTTGAAATTCTAAGAATATTTGTTTTATGTTAACAACTTTGCCTATATTAACATTTTGGTTATAATCAACAACTTGCGCCTCACGCTTGAGTTGCAAGAGACCTTAGCGCCTCAATGCACCTAGAGCTTTTTAAAACACCGGTACTGTCATTTCTAAAGTTGTGAAACTAATCCATCCCCACCCCCACCGCCTCCTTGATTTACCCCATCCCTAGCATCAACAGGGGTCAACAAAATTAGTAAGAGGGGATAACGGGAAATAAGTAGTTTTACTAGTTTAGGTGTTTGTTTGCATTTATTTCCTTTGTCCTTGGTCAATAAGTTGGTTTGAATGTTTTTAGGAGTTATTCTGACAAATAGTTTGAATTGACAAAAAGTTAATGTGTGGACGGTTAAAAAAAAGTAGAGTTCGACATTCTTAAGTAAACCATCACTGTAAAAAAATATTGAAAATATAAAAATGAAATATCAGTTTCCATATAATGCATTACCAACAAATTCATGAATCATGGTTCCATGTTCATTTTATGGCTTTCAATCTACATTAGATGCGGACCTAACAAATCAAGCTAGGTTTGATTTATCTTGGGCATGAATATCTGAGTTAGTTGTTTTCTACCCCAATAAAGCCGGTAAAACCACACCATATGCTGGCATGGCAATTCCATTTGCACCTCTCGTATTTATGCTTCAAAAATTTGCTAAAGACCAACATATAAGGCCTGTTTGGCATAACAAGGGTAGGAAACATATTAACAAGAGAATCAGAATTGAAGAACTTCATATTGTAAACATATTTATTTATTTTTATTCTCTCATTTATAAAAAATCATTCTTCTCAAAGTAACTTCAAAAGTGCGATGGAAAGGGGTGATAGCTTTCCAATAACATAACTACAACTCATGGATAAATCCATAAATTTACTACATTATTCAATTAGAGGTCGAAAGTGTGTAAGTGTACCTCATAGTCAATAAGTTGTATAATGTTGTTCTTTCCCTTCAACTTGTTTAGGTACTCAATCTCCTGACAAAACCCAAATGCAGTGGCATAATCGCGGCCTTTAAGCTTGATTTTCTTCAAGGCATAGATAGTGCAATCTGATGAAATGACTTTGTGGACCTCACTACTTCCCCCACTACCTATCTTCCCAAGCCTTTGATAGAGCTGCCCGTTAACTTTGAAAAACAAGTCAGGATCATAATTTTTTTTACGAGATGCTGCTTTACCACTTGCAGCTTTTTCTTGTTTTTCTAATTTAGAAGGTTCCACCTTCACTTCTGAAGATAGGTTTTTGGACAAGGGAGACTGAGATTTTAAGACAGGAACATCACTTGCAAGTCCTTTCCCTTTGTTTGAGTTGTCATCTAGGGGGGAAGGATCTTTTCTGAAGTCACCTTCCTTCGGTCCATTGCCTTGAAGCTCCTTGACCAAGTCATCCTTAACTCCCACCCTGGTGTCAACAGTATAGCAAGGAGCTTGGGTTTCAATGGCTGTCTGGTCAGGTGACATTCTGCTGGTGCACTTAGATGAAGGACAAGAAGGTTGCACCATATTTCCTCCTGTCATGGGTTGAAAATTCACATTGCATTCTCCCAAAGATTCTACGGCCATATTAGAACTGCTATTTTGGTGAGGATGGGAACAGTGGGTCATTGAATTAGGCATGGGAGCAGAAGCTGAATTGACTAATGTTGTTGTAGCGCAAGATGACCCAACAACTGAAGATTGAGTCATGTGGTGGCACAAGTCACCATGTAAAAAGTTTCTGAATTGATGCAACCGATCCTGAAGTTCCATTGTTTTCTTCGCAAACAAAGAAGAATTTGCTCCACCTGACCTCAAACTATTATCCACTTCTACGTTGTGAAAATTCTGATGCTTCAAGCCATTACTGATATTAGTTACAGCCTCTAGTTGATTGCTCACATTACATTCCATTTCTGTCAATGCAAGTGAACCCATATAAGATAATAAGTTGTCTGTTTCAGTGGCCATTTGATCGTCAGCCCCTGCAAATACAAAACCATCGAAAGAGAAGGCAAAAACATAGCAGAGCAGTTTGTGCGCTGATTTTCCCATTGTAAAGATGTGCGCAAAAGTATTAAATTTCAAGGTTTCATTTTTTTGTTATAAGGTCACATAAAAGGCCTTTAAAGATTTATACAGTCTAGCAACCAAATTCCTATACTAACAACAAGAAGTTAGCAATTTATTACCACAAGGTCTGCCATTATTTCCCAATGAAAACTGGATCTTCTTCTGACTATCAACCAAAGGAACGTGTTGAGGTTCTACAAGCGATGAAGCATCTATATCATTGCTTTTGTAATCAACAAATGATCTGGGTTGATCTCTCTGAACATCAAAAGGTTTAATACTTTCTTCATGTGTATTTGTAACGGTGCCAGTCATCGAAGGTGGTGTGATTGACGAGTCTACTTGATTTTCGTTTACAACAGGAACTGTATTCACTGCCTGTGAATTGTAATCCCCAACTCTAAGACCTTGACTCCCAAAAAGCTCATCTTGGGTCTTCGTGAGGTCAAGTGCAGGACCCGGATTTGATGTTGTGATTTTTGATGTTTCTCTTTGAGGAACCAATAAACGCCTTGGCCTAAGGTTATTCGACTGCATTGTGTCTGCAAAATCCCAATAGAACATTTAAAATAAATAAATAAATAAAGAAGCCCATAGTCAACCAATTTGAGAAACCTCCCGCAGTGAAGAGAGTAATAGCAAGATCCAAAACACCTACTTTCCAGTTGTTGAAAGAAAAAAAAATGCAATTAGAGACCTAGAAGCGAAGGTAGCAAATTTTGATAGTAATTTCAGTTGTCAGAAGCCCTACACTCCGTTTGGATTGAAAGATGAGAAACGAAAAGAAATAATTATGATTTCCACCTTCCTGTTTGGATGATGGACTATGAGAATGAAACTTAAGTTTGATGTGATTTGGCTTTCTCACCATTTCTCGCCATTACTCACCTCGTTAATGAGAATTTCATTCTCTCCATTTTTTTCTTCTCTCACCAAACTGCTCAATCCAAACGGAGTGCTAGTTTTACTTCATTAAAGAAATTAAAACCTACACCAAGAGGTGTAGAATCAAAAATGCAAATTTAAAACAAACCCATTCAAATTCTTTGTGCAACAAAGAACCATAAAAAAATCCATGGTTTGGTTTGGAGATTTGAGAAGGAATTTAAAAAATGAAAAGAAAAAAGTAGGTGACAGGTGAATTAAATATATCTATATTACATTTCAAATAATTTCACACGCCAAATCTCTACTAAAATTCCTCAACACACACAGCATAATTCTATTTCCACAGTGAAATCTTAATAGGAAGTACAAATTTTAAGCAAAACCATGTATATGATACATTAATTCAATTAAAATCCACACCAAACAAGTCATTCATTTCTCAATTCAGCAATGAACAATCAAATCTAGAGAGAGAGAGAGAGTGTTTTACTGAGAGGACGGTGGCGCTTAAAGGCAGCTTGAACATTCCGGACGAAGCCTGAGGTAGAAGATGAAGAAAGGGACGAAGAAGACGAGGATGTTGAGGTGAAGGAACGGGAGAGATTGGAGTCGGGGTTGACCGGACGGACGAGATTGCTCTTCGTGGATGGTGATGGAGATAGCGAGCCGGGCAGGTTAGCCTCCCTGTCCATCGACAGATCTCAGAGGCATCTCTGATTCAGAAAGAATTGTAGAGAGAGAGAGTGGAAAAAAAACACCTTCACATTTGCAAGGCTAGACCTTCATGATGTTCCATGGCCTTGAGAAACTGAAGAGAGAGAGTGAGTGACTTTGTTTGAACGCTTCCTTTTGGCGCTCGAACTTCTATGCGAGAAATACTATGCATCATATGTACTTCAAAACTTAAAATTAAAAAATTAAAAAAAAAAATGCATAATTTTAATTTTTTGGAATCATAATTTTTTTTCAGGACTCATCTTTTAAAAATTACATCTCTCTCCTAAAATTTAAAGTTTCATTACAGATTCTCCCTCAATAATTTAATTTTTTTAAATACCAATTTTGCCTTCATTGTGTAAATAACATTGATACCCTTCACATTTTAGAAATTACAATCCTCTCTCTAAGGTTTAAAATAACATTACCAATTGCCCCCTCGGTTAATATTAGTTGAAAAAAAAATTAATTGAAAAAAAAATTATTTGAAAAAAAATTTTGTTAGTCAAAATTTTAAATTTTTTGTTTAAAAACCAACGTAAACTCATTTTTTGAATTTAAGTTTTTTTTCAAATTTACAAACTAAGACAACTATTTATAAACCAAAAAAATTATCAAACAAGTTTTTACAACAGTTTTAAAAAATTTTGTGAATATAAATTGAAAACTAAGAACGAAATGGTTACCAAACAGGTCTCAAATGGTAAAAATATCGTAAAATTATCAAATAATTAAATAAGTTACCAACGTAATAAATGAATTATCAAAAGATTCTTACGCTATGTATAGTTTGATTTTTAGAAATTTTTTTAAAAAATTAAAAATTAATTTGGTTAAGAAATAAAAAATAAAAAATAATTATCATTTAAGGGTAAAAATTAATTATCATTTTAATTTTGAGCAGGTTATATACATATATATGGTTGTTTCAATTTAATTTGTAAAAAATTATTTCTAACCACTTGAAAGATAAAAATTATATAAAAATGATATTTATTTTTTATTTTTTATTTCTTAACCAAACTAATTTTTAATTTTAAAAAAAAAATTCTAAAAATCAAACCATACGTAGCCTAAGAATCTTTTGATAAGTCATTTCTTACGTTGGTAACTTATTTAATTATTTGTTAATTTTATGACATTTTTACCATCTAAAACTTGTTTGGTAACCATTTCGTTTTCAGTTTTCAATTTATATTTACAAAAATTTTAAAAACTATCATAAAAACTTGTTTGATAATTTTTTTAGTTTATAAATGGTTGTCTTAGTTTGTAAATTTGAGAAAAAAACGTAAATTCAAAAAATGAGTTTACCATTTAAACAGAAATTTAAAAATTTTACTAACAAATTTTTTTTTCAATTAATTTTTTTTCCAATTAATTTTTTTTTTTTCAATGAAATATTTTTCCAACTAATACTAATCGATGGGGCAATTGGTAATGCTACTTTAAACCTTAGGGAGGGATTGTAATTTCTAAAATGTGAGGGGTGTCAATGTAATTTACCCAATGAGGGCAAAATTGGTATTTAAAAAAATTAAATTGTTGAGGGGGAATCTATAATGAAACTTTAAACCTTAGGGGAGAGATGTAATTTCCAAAAGGTGAGGGGGGAACTGTAATAAACCTAAACCTCAGGGGGCGTTAGTGTAATTTACCCCTGTTTTTTTAAATACTGAATATAATATGTGACATAATTAAAAAATTAATGAGTTATAATTAAAATAATATTATAATTAAAGAAAAAAATTAGTCATAATTAAATAAGAAAATAACATAATTAAGAATGCATATTATATACTCTTTTTATTTATAATAAAAAAAAAGTGTATATTAGAATTTCCAACTCTAATAAAAATGTATATAAAATAAAATAACAAGTACACCAACTAGGGCTACAAACGAACTAAGCTGAGCGGAGTTTTGCTAAACTCGAGCTCGGCTCAATAAAGAACTAGGTTCGAGTCCGGCTCAGTTTGTTAATATTAATGAAATAATAATATATTTATTATATAATTTAAATAAAGATAAACGAGCCGAGCATATGCGAGCTCAAGCTCGATTCGTTTACTAAACGAGCCTAATATTCGAGCTCTAGCTCGTGTTAGACTTATTTATTTTGATGATTTATTTAATTATGTTTTAATTTATTTGAAAGAAAAAAATAGAATTCAAAATTTATTTTGATGATTTATTTAATTATATGTAGGAGCCGGATAATTGGAATAATTAGAAGCGTATTCTAGAAGACAAATATTACATGGCTTTACCCTGCACGATAAGGCTGCCGAATATAATGGATAGACTGAATAGATACTGAACTATGGAGCCGAGTAAATAAGAGACTAATGAGTGACAAGTGGGCCTGGCCACGAGGCCCAGGAAACAACTATAAATAAGAGAGCAACAGACTAAGAAAGGTATGTAAGAATTGTTGTGCTTAACTTAGAATACAAACATTCTCGAGTGTGGATTCTGACTTGTCCGTCGGAGTGCTAATTTCGGTACCCCCGACCAGAGTGTTTATTCCTTTTCAAGTGACCAGAAGAGGATCACGAGCGCTCTCCAAGATCTGAAGAGTATTTCCAAACCACATCTCCACAATTGGCGCCGTCTGTGGGAATACTCAAATATATCCATGGCAGGCGTAACAGAAAATCCTCCAATAGTCACTGCTGAAACCACTCAAAGAGATGACTTCACTCCAACAAACATGCTTGGACCGGAGACTATCGCTGCGAGACGTGCCTTGAACTTCGCCTCACCCTCGACTTCGGAACATGAGACAATGCAGGCGATCATGGAACAAGCAAAGCAAAATGAACAGAGGTTGGAGAACATGATCGCTGAGAACGAACGTCTCCATGAAGATTTGGCCTTGGAAGTGGCGAAGTCCAAACAACCTGTACGCCTAAATCCGAAACGATCTCCGAAAGAAGGTGGTCGACAACCTCGAGCCGGATAAGACAACACTGATAGCGGCTCCGACTCATTATCCCCGGAGCCCAGGAAGAAGGGACGACATGATTCCACTAGTTCTTCCGAAGAAAGTCCCCGTTCAATACACAAGCAAAAAAGGAATAGCTCAGACGAAGATCAACACAATCCCTTCGTACGACTGATTGCAAAGGCTGCGCTACCCAAGAAATTCAAAGCACCATCGTTCACCTTGTATGACGGCAAATTAGACCCCACCGACCACATCCGCCACTACAAGCAGGCCATGACATTGCATGCAGACGACAAGGCCCTCATGTGCTGAATATTTCCCAGCAGTTTGGGACCATTGGCGGTCAGGTGGTATTATAAACTGAAGCCGGCTTCGATCAAAACCTTCCACCAACTACAGAAATCCTTCAGGGCCGGATTTATCACTAACGAGGTCTAGCCGAAACAAGCCGACTCTCTCTGGGCAATGCAAATCCTATCGGGAGAAACACTAAGAGCATATTCGGCGCGATATTGGGAATGCTTTAATCTTGTTGATGACGCTTGCAACGACTCCATGGCCATCACCGCCTTCAAAATGGGATTACATCCAGCTAGTGCCCTCCGCAGTTCCTTGACTAGAAGACCCCCCAAAACAATCTGGGGGTTAATGAAGAAAGTAGGGGAATACTGCAAAGTGGAAGATAACGCCTTGCGGGTTAAAGCCGGACACGTGGCCAACAAAACGGCCCCTCCTGAAATCGCTCAGCCAATAAGCTCCGTACCACCACAGAGCCTTGAACCACGACAGCGGGCTAAACGAGACAAGAGACGGGATTCTCGCCGATCCAGCGATCAATGCTCACACCAAGCAAATGAGCAACTGTAGGTCGACAGCAGGCGCACAAAGCGCGCCAACAAGAAATATACAGAGCTGTCAAAGCCAATCAGCTCGATCATGTTCAAAATCCAACATCTTCCGTTTTTCAAATGGCCGTCCAAGATGGTGGGATCCCCTGACACAAGAAGGCGGGACAGGCGTTGTGAATATCACAAAGATCACGGTCATGATACGGACAGTTGCTATGCCCTGAAAGATCACCTTGAGGAATTGGTGCAAGATGGCCGGCTCCAGCAGCATGTCTAGAAGAGCACAATCAAAACTGTTGCCCTTCGGCAGGAGTCACCTCCCCTCGACGTTATTCACATGATATACAGCCTTCCAACGCCATGTACAATACATGCAATTCAATCAGTCCCCCAGAAGCAACGCACACAAACGGAACAGCCCCACGAAGCTCAGAGTATTATCTTCGACGATTCCGACCTCATCGGCATAACACTTCCCCATAATGATCCATTGGTCATTGAACTACACGTGAACCAATTTACCGTTGAACGCGTCCTCGTAGACCAAGGGAGCACTTCGGAGGTTATGTATTACGAGACCTTCATCAAACTCGGTTTCAACGAATCAAAACTGTCTCCGGCTCCTCATCCATTATTCGGCTTCAATGCAAATCCAGAGTACTTGTTTGGAAAAGTCACGTTGCCCGTTCGGGCGGGCTCCCAAACAGTGGACGTCGAATTCTTGGTCGTCAAGCTCCCTTCGCCGTATAACCTCATCATGGGGCGAACTTGGTTGCATACTATTCAGGCCATGCCAAGCACCTATTATCAGCTGCTACATTTCTCGACCGAACACGGCATTGAGCAAATCCATGGTTCCCGGCAGTCCCCACGAGGGTGCTATCTCCTTTCTAGAAAGACACCAACGGAGTCGCAGGTCAACTCCACTGAAGTGCCGAATCGAGACAGTTCCGACAATGTCGGACGGCTCCCCGACGAAAAGCCACGGAAGCTCTAGGCGATACCAGCAGCAGTTTCCCGAGACGTATGCTCAACACATTCAGCTGCGTCGCTACACGCCGGGAATGTTGCTCCTGAAGGTATTTCCAGATGATGGGAGGCCGGTCGATGGAAAATTAGGTACGCGGCATTGCTCCTAACGCACTTGCGCAAATTCTATCATTAAACCCGACCTGTGGGGAATGATATTGGTTCCGAATGGCTCACCATGTACACTTTCCACTACTGTAATGCAAAGATTCATGTTTACTCACTGTGCAATCCAGTTCAAAAGTGTTCCAAATAAAGCCCTTTGTGGATGTCACGATGGCCGAATAAAGCCTCCGAATTCGGAGCGC